ATTTTGTGGGTGCTTAATACTGAAAGTGTTTTTTATCAGTTACCTGTCCGTTAAACAATGAAGCATCAACCGTACACAAGCAAGATTTTTACCAAAATTGATATCCCCCAACCAATCTGGCTGATGTTCTGGCCCCTCTAATTTAAATTGGGATATTTTAATGTTTGTGTATTTTTTTTTCCCTGAACATGTCCTACTCAATATTAAAGATTCAGTTTCATTTACAAATGGAATGTTCAGCATCTGTATTTAATAAAAAAAACAAACAAACTAATATAGCATACTTCTATTGAAAATTAAACACTTTCAATTTTTCATTTGTTGGCTTATTTTACCATGTTTCTAGCATTATCTTCAGTGTTATGACAAGTGCTTTGGAACATCACCTTTAGTACCATTTACATGGCATTATTATGGTGCGAATTCCGTATTATAAATCTAAAGCACCATGCTCTTCATCATGATATCCTTGGAATATATCAGATTTTCAGACCTGCAAAATTTAATTCAACTATTTAACCTCCTATTTTACTAGTCTCGAGAACTTTTTTATTCAAAAAGTTATTCAGAGTAATGAAATTGTGAATATTAATAAATCTGGAGACAAAATAAATATTTATATGTTCAAGATTTATTTTTGTAAAGACTATACGGCAAGCTTCTTCCGTGAACTTGTGCTACTGAAATCAGCTGGGAAAATGAAACTTGTAATTGGATCGACACTTTGCCAAATCAATTCACGTAGAAATCAAAAAGCTCTGTTGACAGGTAGACCTGTGCTGATTTTGATTTGTATTCTTTACAATTTTCTTAATCACTTTTTTTTTTTTTTTTTTTTTTTTTAGAGAAATATAAACATAATATGTTCTCTGCATTGCAGAAAAAATAATTTTAATTTGTATAAAATCAGAGAAAACTTATTTCTGAAATAAGAAGCACTTGTAAACAGTAAGACAAGTTTGAAAGAGAAGGAACAAATAAATATTTACACATAAAATTTACCAAATCCCAATTGTACAAAGGTTTATTCAACAAATGTAATTACACTGCTGATTGACACAATACATAACAGACAAAAACGTACATACTTATTTACACTTGTTCTAATTGTTTTTTTTTTAAATAGATTTTACAATCATAGTAACATATGAAATAACTGAAATTATGATTTTATTTCAAATAATTTAATTGTTTTATTGTACACAGAAATTGTTAATAGACTAGATTGTCACAAAATCAATATGTGGCTACATGCCAATCACATTTTACTTATCAACTTTTATGTAGAGATTATGGATGGTATCTAAATTTCTGAAGAATAATTGAAGAGCATTGTAAAAATATAACTGTAATTCTCATCTGCATACTCATTTGAGTGTTATAAATACTGAAAGTGACTAGATTATATCCATTCCATTACTTAAAGGTAACAAGAGCTTAACAAAATTACAAGTAAATATCGCATTTAGTTTCATCTTGAACCAAGACAAATTATAGCCAGAAATGCCCTTGCAGATTTTTATGTAAAAAATAATAATTCTTTTTTCCCAAGAGTCATTTGAAGAACTCTTTAGATCTTTGATAAGAATTACTATTACAGCTAATTCACACTAACTTCAATGTTTTGCAGTGCAACTTCTTCATGCAATGTAGTTTTTATGTATTTCCATTATATTTGCTTTCTAGTATTTGAATTAAATTAAATAAAACAACTGGAGTTGAGAGATCATATAACTACATTGCAGTAAGCACTGCATTTCAAATTGAGCATATACCCATGGATGAAGAAGACCTGTGTTTGCAAGAAGCAGTAAAGGTCACTTTTGTTCCAGCACTGTGTGTGAATAACTGGTACATGTAATTTTACATAATAACTATTTATTAGACAAGGAAAAATAAAGCAAAGAAGAAGAAAAAAGAATGAAAGAGGAGATTGAGGAGAATGATATTAACAGGTTATTTGAACTACGACAACTCCTCTAGATTTACTATTACACAAAATAAATGAAAAGCAAGTTAATTGAAGAGAGGAAAAATTAAACTGATGCATTGTCATTAGAAAGTTTAAATGAAGGTGACTTGCAAATATTAAAACCAAACAAGATTTTACAGATGCAGAATATTTAATTACAGACAAGAAAATGAACACTGAACGACAGTGAACTATCACATGTCTCGCATCATAACACAATAATTGCCAAAAAACAATATACTCATATACTGGTAAGAAATTAACTAATGACATACACTAATTTTACATCCACATTGAAACGATTAATTTTTTCATAAATATTTTTGAAAACATTAAAACAAATCAAACTTAAACATTTGCTTATTTTTCACTAAAAAATGAGAATATACATTCTTGAAAATTGTGACCATGTGACCATCACATACTCATTTTTTTGGGTCTTTTATAAATAAGAAACTGAGAAGGATGAATAAATGTTATGAAAACACATTTTTTCGTTTGTTTTCTGTACATAGCACTAAGTAGGGCCTATTTAAGTATTTCTTAGCTAATATATCCATTTTAATATGCTTAAAAATTGTAACTGGTATGAATATTTTTAAATAATGCACATTCTATTATGAAATTTATAGGGATGGATATTTTATATACTGTTATTATTAATATTATTATTATAAATGTTTCTTTTTTTGAGTGTTGTAACTTAATAGCAGAGGGTAAAGTGAATTTTTCCTTGTCTGTTTAATGTCATACCTATTGAGCTAATTACTACAGTAACTATGATTGTTAACAAATGAAGTTTATAAATTATTTTAGATTTAAAAATTAAGATTATGATTAGAAAATTTCTTAATGAAAATAAATGAATAAATAATTAATGTTTCTACAATTTCTTACAATGTATATGCTCAGAATTTGATTAATAAATTTATATTTGCCACAAGTCAAATAAACAGAAATGCAACCCACAATATCATCTAAAAATTGAACACTTTTGCTCAACAGGTTACTAGGGAGGAATGTAATAACGATGTTCTTCTCCTTGTTGTAAATCACCTGCAATTTGCCTCAGAACTTCATTTGTGAGCAGTGCCAGGTTGCTTATTGAGAAACACTTGTACCATGGGAAGCTAAAGGAATAAGAGGATCAATACAACTATAAAATTTATTTTCAAATAATTTTAGACATGAATGTTTAATCTGTCTATTTAAATCTTCAGTAATTTATGCTAAAGACAATGTATTTGAATCCTACAATCCAATAACACCACTTACTTTTAAGGAGAGGTAATGCTTTCTTCATTGGGACATGGTAGAACAAATGAGAGATGGAGGTGCTATATTCACATCGGTGAGAGCAAGTGCACAAAAATTAGATGAGAAAAAATGTTTGAACAAGGCAAAGGGATATATATTGATAACATTCAAGTATATATACTTTTACATGGAAATAAGTAAAAGAATAAATATTTTTGTTTTCAAAATTGTAAATGATATGTATTCACACCAAATAAATATGCAAGAAAAGCATACCGAAATTAATTTTTATAAAAATGAAAACCCTTGTCCATTTAAATAATGCATTTTTGTCATGTATTTTCAATAGTCATTTTTAATCATACTTAAATGTTACTACATACAGAAGAAGTGAAGACATTCTTGACACCACCTTTTCTGGTAGGCCATAAAACAGCAATTTTATTTTTACTGCGAAAAACACTCAAATAAGCAATCGCATTGACAGTGAAGAAGTCCGGGCTGAAAGTTATAGTGCACCATTAAAACTGTTACAGCTAGGATGCTCAGAAAAAAATTGTGAATATTTTGCATGAATTTCTGGAGTTCCCGAGTTCAGAAATAATCCTTATAATGTGCCCTGAATACACAAATATATCATACTAAGATACTTTCATGAGCAGTCCAACTATAACATCGAACAGGAGAGCGCTCTCCATCTCTCGCCTTCATCTTGAGTGAAGATATCCGATAATATTTGCCATCCACTTAGGCAGTCGCAATGAGTAGGTTATTTTAGATGATGATCAATGTAATGGTTTTTAAGTTTCTGAACACCACTACTGTCACTAAATTAGTATTCGATTACCTAAAATCTATTCTGACCAGAAATATAACCAAGCGCTTATTTCAAAATTTTCTTTAGACAGCTCGAGGAAAGTGAAATTAAAAATATACTGCATTCATAATTTTTTCATTAAAATGAAAACGACAAAAACAATCGTATTTACGACCCTTCATATTAAGTAAGTTCTGGCCACAGTAATTGAAACGGATACAAAACTTAACGAATTCACGAGATCATGATCCGGAAATCTTCAATACTCAGATGGAGACGGTAAGCTGGGAGGAAGGGTTGATAGAACAAGGTCAAGGAAGCAGTGGTGGGCATAATCGAGTCAACCTTCTCATTAATTTTGGTGGAGATAACGATACATGATGAAACACCAGGATTGAGAAACACGCTTTTCAATGATTTATCTTAATGACTGAGGAATCATTGTTAAGATTTGAGATTGATACCTCACATTAGTATCTCAAACAGGAACTCCAAAGAAAAGAGAAGCCGCTCAATTTTGCCCATCACCAAGGAAGCGTTCAGCGTTCAATGGGAGCGCCGCAGCAACGACAATCGCCCTGCTAGCACGCCCAGCGTGCGCGGAGGTGGGAGGGAAACATCGCCTTTACATTCCGCCCATAAGACATGAGCCGAAAACTAAGGTCGTGGCGTCCAAAGTCCAAACCGCACCGGGGCGGCCGCGCCTGCACTCGCCCCCACTTGGTCCTGAGTCGGCAAACGGCAGCAGCGGCAGCAGCAACTCCAGCGACGGCAGCGGCGCCGGCCCGCCGCGCGCGGCCCGTCGCGCCTCGCGGCCCACGACGGCGTCTCTCCCCCGTGGTTCGTTCCTTGGCGGCGTGGCGGCGCTGCCGCGAGGCGCACCGCGGGCGGGCGTCTGGGAGCGGCGGGCCCGCGCCCTCGCCCTCGCCACCGCCACCACCGCCACCACCGCCACCACCGCTGCCGCCGCCGCCGCCGCCGCCATTGCCGCCGCCGCGACGGCTGGCCCCGCCCGGTTACATGATCACGCACTTGCCCTTCTCCGCCCACGGGTTGTTTTTCTTGTCGGGCGCGTGGATCAAGGGATCGCTCTTCTCATTCTCCTCCACGTACTCCCGCATCCTGCAGGACAGAAAACCGCGTGCTATTACACGACCTTACTAAGTAGTATGTGTCACAAGAAACATATTACATAGTAGGAAGTAATATATACTAATCAAAATTACTACTTTATTGCCAACAAATTAATTTTTTCTAATTAAAAACACTCCTACATTAACATTAGATTTATATTATGTGTACAACAAATCTAATATTAATTTGTAACTAGTCAAAATGACAATCATTTATGTTCATTGAAGAAAAAATATTTTCCGCTGGCATTACGACAGTTTTCAGTGCAAACGAGTACCTGACTGGAGACAGGTTATTTTGGCTCGTAAGAGACCGTTTTCTTACCATAGACGTGTCGCGTTTGCTCTGAGAATAGTGATGCTAACTTTGAACATTTTTTTTTTTTCAGTTGGGAGTCATTCTGGGATTTGTGTGATGTCACTGCCTGACGGGGCAATACGTAGGCAACCCGCGGCACGCTCATGTGCATAAACTGAATGGGTTGGTCTTTATGCCCCTGAAGTTCGTGGCTCGAATTTTTCCAGAATGTATTATAATCCTTATAATGTCTGCCATCCTTTAAGACTATTGTTGCAATGACTATTGTTATACTATGTTAATGCATGTGGGAGCTATTGTTAATTTTCTTGGGATAAACTTATTGTATATCGACTTTGCTGCAATTCGTTGTACGTTAATAGGAAATCAATACTGAGGACTTCACCTTGCGCCGCCGGCAAGTCTAAGTCTACTTGACCGTGGCACAGGTATGCCCGTTTCTTTGGCTCCTGCCCAATCCTACCCTCCGAAAACCAAGTCCACACGCATCCCCGATTCCGCATCGGAGAGGAACAGGGTGCATTGAGAGATAGTGCCTGGGCTGTTGTTTGGCTGGCGTTCGTTTTTTTTCTCAAGTCCCGTTGTGGTACACCTTTCCAATCAGGTTTGTGCTCTGAATTGTATTGATGTGAAGTATTAGCTTGGATATATTGGTTTTATAACGTAATCTGTAATTTCATTTCATTAAAATACAAACCGAAGTTCAATATATGTTTCTCCATGTCTTTCCCTTGAGTTAACACTACATTGGTTACAGAGTTGATTAACAGAAAGAAATGACATTCGATTTGATTCAATTCAGTTGTATTTCTAATTATTATAAAATTATTAACGTGGGTGTGTTTTACAATTCGAAATCATTCTGAGATTTGATGACGCCAATAAAATGTGAAGCTATACTTCTAGCGAGCCTTGACTATGAAAGACTAATAATTCTGAAAGTGAATCGGGAAGTTAACATTAAAAAACATATCTATGGTTCAAGTTTTTTCTGTACAACATATCTTTTTAATTTTTCAAAATTCCATATTATAAAACTTATTACTTTTCTAATTACATGATGTTTTTGAAATTTTAGATATGCAAGGAACTATTTTATTAGCTACTATGTACCCGTTTAGCCGGACCTGTCTAATACACCTTGAACAAAAGCTTCGACAGAGCTTTGAGAAACTAACATAACATCCATGTGTTATAGTTATTGTATACCGTAATTTGATACCACTGCAATTCGTTGCCAAAAAGACGTTTGCGGCAGTTAATGAAAGCGAACTGACTCAAGCTCTATAGATATGTCTCAGAAATTCTATTATGAGCTTTCGAATAAAAGAACTCTCTCAATAATATACCTTACTCATTCTATCTTTTAATTTTGGTAGCCCGAGCGTTTCTCTACTTTTTGTGTACCGTAAAAAAGTGTTTTTACCATGAGTAGGAAAAATAGCACACACGAGTCACAAAAACTATCATTCTGATCATTCGTACTATTGATCTGTTTATCAACATAAATGCAATAGAGAAACGAAAAGGCTCAACTGTCGGCGTTCGTTAAAAATTTCAATAGTCATCCTTTACGAACAACAGAAACAAACTAGTTGTATCAGACTGTGCAGTATGAGATGTCACAAGCAAAGAAAATATTTACGAAATTTTGTTGTAAGACGCGCAATCAGGAGTTTTTTTTATTGGCAGTGTCCAGTCAACTTTAAGATTTCTCGTTAATCATTTTTAATTACCGCTGAATGGAGTATTTATTTTTTCTCCTCCCCTTGGTTATGCAACAGTGAATGTGTCAATACGAAAAGAATTAAACTACGTACGTTGAATGTCACAAATAACGGCCTTGTTTGGTTATACATCCCTTTATCGCCTCCGTTTACTATTTTCAAACGAGTCCACGCTCTACATTGACTTAATGACGTTTACAACTATAACTAGGTTACGTCTCTTTCCGAGACATTGGTTCAAGCCGAGAAATGTTGGCCCCATATCATTTCAATGTTAGGTCATAAATAAAGACTAATTCACCTAGACTCAGTTGAACGAAACGAATCGGCTACAAATAAAAGTTGGAGAAGGACAAATGCTTTTGAACACCTTTTTACACGTACATTAATAAATATAGGTATTTACGCACCAAGGGAGTTATAAGGGTTATATGAACGAGCGATGACAAGAAGCCCGAGGGCTTTTTATCGTCCGAAATTATAAGAACCAGATAACGCCCGTGGCACACACAATTATATTTTTTACCTTATTTTAATAATTCAGATTACTTATTTACTAATTAAGTGGATGTGAATGTGATATGGGTTGTCTTTTCATATTTTCCTGCCATAATTCCCTTTCATAATTCCATCTAATAATTACTATCATAAAATAACATTATCATCAATGAATGTGTGTCAAAGATTACGACAAAGCATGGGAAGGACATACGAATTGGTACATGGAATGTTAGAAGCTTATATAGGATATGGGCAATTAAGAAGCTAACCAGTCAACGTAATATAGAGCGGAAGTAGCGGCTATACAGGAAGCCAGATGGTTGGGAAGTGATATTGATGACTTACAAAATCATACAATTTTTTGTAGTAGAATGACTAAAGGAAATCACGACTTCGAAGTGGCTTTTGTTATCAAAAATATGTAAGGTCAAATGTTTTCGATTTTGAAGCAATTAATGAAAGGGTAGGGGTTATAAGGACCAAATACAAATTTTATAACATTCACAGAATTGTGAATGCGTTTGCCCCTACTGAGGAAAGAGAGGAGGAACAGGAAGAGGAAAAAGAAAGGGAAATTTTTTACCAACAGTTGGAGTATATCCTAGATACACTGCCTAGGAAAGACGTCTAGCTGATTATCGGTGACTTCAACGCCAAGATAGGGAAGGAAAGATGCTACCATGGGAATATCGGAATTAATAGTCTTCAAGGAAATAAGAAAGGGTAAAGGCTAATAAATTTGGAAGCTAAGAAAAACTTTATAATTAGCTCAACTTACTTCCCCTGATCGGAACATTCACAAATGGACATGGACCTCCCTTGATGGGAAAATTCATAACCAAATAGACCACGTACTAGTAAATAAGAGAAGAGCAATTAGAATAATGGATGTAATGTCATATCGAGGCGCTCAGGGATCAGATCATTTGGTGATAATGAGATATAGAAGTCGGATATCACATGTAAGTAGAAACCACTAAAAAAAACCCAGATAATGGAATATCCAGAAATTACTAGAAAAAGATTCAAGGGTGAGATCTACAGAAGAAATGGAAGCAAGAATAAATGATGTGGAAGATGAAAGATATTGACCGTAACCGCTTAGTGATAGTATTTTCATCGTTTGCAGCTTTTCCTGCACCCGATCCTCCATATCCGTCGCTTTCCCCGATCCAGTCGCCGCGCCACTTGGAGCGCGAGCACGTCAAACGCGATTTGCACGTTAATGTGGAATCGGGAGCGCGCGTCGAAAGCTTTATTTGCGCTGCTCGACAGCCGTTTATTTAGCGAACGAGGGGCGCGCGCCGCCACCAGCGCTACTCCCTGTACCTCTACCACGGCATCTCCTTCGCTCCGACCAGCGTTCCTCACTCGCCAACACCAGCGTCTCACCAACCAGCGGCCCCAAGGAATCATAAGTAATTCCTCCCTCCTCTGACCCTCCAGCCTTCGCCAATGCCCCCCTCCCTCTCACTCTCCAGGCATGAACTTTGGGGATCAGGTGGGGACAATTGGGGAAATGAGGGATCTAGAATAGGTGGAGAACTTATCGGGAAACGAAGGAGGGCTGGTGGAGGACAGTTATGTGGTAACCTGTGTGGCTGAATAAAGATTGTTATTTTACAAAAATGAGTAGTTTTGAACCTACTACATTTTTGAATATTCAGTCTACGGTGGGAATGCATAGGAAAATGCAGGAATCCGAAATTATGTAAAAGTAAATTGGAAAAGGATAGAAATAATATCCCACAATAAAATTGAAAGAGTTATTTGATTTTCTGTGCAATTTAATCTCCATGCTTAGACATATTAGAATGGCTACTCTCTCAGAGTATTGGGCCTATAATTCTCTAATGCACATACTTCAGGAGTTGGATATTCGAAGTTGGATTCCATTACGACTATTTTCACTTTTAAAACAATTATTTAGAAAGTTAGTTTTCGCAAGGGTATAACTAGAAGAGTAAATAATTTCTTTACTGTAATTTACAGCTAACGAAGAAGGCACCCATCAGCATCAGTACGGTTACGGGCGATGGACATAAAATTACACTCAATATTTAATTTCATGTATAACTAGGTGATTAACAGACGTTGGCAGGGTATTTATTGATGACAATCGTCTATTAAACTATTTTACCCCGCTCCAAAGGGCAAAAATAATGCCTACATGCATTGCATAATTTATAGTAACATTTGTTGTAGCATTTGTAGCGTAAACAAAATTTATGGTAACAGTTTTGGATCACGAACCACCGTAGGCTTTTTCGGCTTCTCAAAAGTGTTCATGTAAAATTTGAAAGCCATCGCTCCAATGACTGAAAAGTTTCTGTATAAGAAACAGACCTGCATCTCCTCACACATGCATTTTAAGATTAGGGATTTGGAGGTGTACATTGTGGTTATCAGCGTACTTGCACCGAACGGGGTGGTAAGTCTGGC